CGGTCGTCGCCCCAGCCGTCGTTGACGCGGAGCGCGCAGCCGTCGCGGCGCAGGCGGAGCGCGAGGCGCGCGATGTTCCGCGCGTCGTCGAGGCCGCTGTGCGGCCGGCCCTCGAAGGCCAGGCCCAGGAGCGCGAGCTTGTTCTCCAGGTTGCCCGGCCGCTTGACGTCGTAGTGCTTGCGCAGGTGCAGCGACACGTCGACCCAGGTCCGCCAGCGCGGATCCGCCGCGAGATGCTTCCGCGCGCACTCGCCCAGCAGGAACTTCCGCAGGTCCCAGGGCCCGTCGGCGGCCATGGCGTAGGTGCCGGGCGCGAGGTTTTGTTCTTCGAGCCACGCGCGGAAGGCCGCCAGCACGTCCGCGAGCGGCTCCGCGGCGTCGACGGTTTCCTGAGAAATGCCCGTGAGTTTCGTGCAAAAGTCGCTGAGCCGCGGCCGTTCCGTCGGTCGCACGAAGCGCTGGAACGTCGGCCGGGCGAAGACGTCCTGGGATTCGCCGAGCGTCAGGTCCACGACGACGGCGGGGAACTCGATGATCTCGTGCGAAAAGGGCGTCTTCTTCTGGTACGTCGTGTCGGCGACGCACGTGCACTCGAAGTCGACGACGACGAGGTAGCGGTAGGGCAGGTCGTGCTGTGCGTTCGGCGTCGTCGGCGCGGGCGCCGCGGCCGGCGTCGGCGTCGTCGACGGCGCCGGCGCCGGCGCTTTGGGGTGCTGCTTTTGGCGCTTGGGTTTGTGCCGTTTCGCGGGCTTTTGCGGCGGCGCGGCGATCTGCTGTGGTGTCTGGCGGCCCAACGCCGCAGCGATGAAACTGCGCAGCCAAGCGAAGAACGCGCGCAGCGCTAGCATCGCTGCAAATCAGGCGTCCATGCTCGCCTCCCCATTCAAGGTGCACTGATCCTGCAGTGCTCTCCGAGGGCTTCGCGCCTGCGCCAAGGGGATATACTATTTATTACCCCTTGCCTGCGCTCGAGGTACCTCGTCATCGATGCTCGTGGCTTCGCCGTGCTGATCGAGTGCAGCGCACAACATTTGCACTCAACAATGCCGTCCAGACTTGTGGTCATCGCCTGCAGCGCGCTGGCCGCCGCAGCTCTGCCGTCATGCGACTCCGACCGCCCGAATAGCTGGGCGGAGCACCGCATGCTCCAACTGTCCACGGACATGGCTGCTACTGCTTCGGACGCCTGGGTCGACGCGCTCTGCTGCGTGTACACGCACGTCGAGGAGCAGGCGTCGCTCACGCGTGCGAGAATGACCACCTACGACGGGTCCACGCGGTGGTACGACGGCGACGACGGCGACGACGTCATCGAGCGCGCGTACGACGCGATCTGCGCTATGTCGATGGGCGGCGACGACTGCGACAGCCAGGCGACGTGCGTCGCGGACGCGCTCGCCGGCGACGACGGCGAGTGCGCCGACAGCGATACCTGGCGCTTCAAGAAGAAGCCCTGGAAGTCGTGCGCGTGGGTCGCGAAGAAGCCCGCGAAGCGGTGCAAGAAGAAGGGCGCGACCTTCAAGAAGGCAAAGAAGGCCTGCCTCGCGGCCTGCGGCAAGTGCTGACCATCGTGATGTCAATTAAGTGTTGTTCCTGTGCTCAAACTTAGGCCCCCTGCTTCGCCTTCACGGCGGCGGCGAGGGCCTTGTACCTCAACAAGCAGAGCTTGGCCGTCTTGCCGTCGACGCCGCCCGCGATGGCCCGCCACCGGTCCTTGGGGTTCTCCTTGAAGTCCCCGGCGGGGAACTCGACGAGCGCGGCCTCGAGCGCGCGCTGCTGCGCGAGGGACCAGCGGTCGTCCGCGTCCGCCGCCGGCGCGGGCGCCGCGGGCCGCGCCTTCGCGGACGCGGCCTTGACGAACTCCTTGAAGCGGGCTTTGCACTCGTCGGCGCTCCGGTGCTTGTGGTCCGGCGCGTCCGGGTCGCGCTTGTCGTTCGCGAGCGACGTGTTGTAGAGGTCGGCGACGGCGTTCCAGTTCGCGTTCAGATTCGCGTGGCCCTTCGCCTTGGCCAGCGTCTCCGGCGCGGGCGCGCCGAGCTTCCGCGCGGACCGGAGCAGCGCCGCGTCTTCCAGCGGCGCCCAGAGCAGGTCGAGCGCCCGCCGCGCGGCCGCGGCGGCCGCCGCGGCGCGCCGCGCGTCCCTCCGCGCCGCGTCCTCGTCCTCCTTCTGCTTCGCGTCGGCCGCCGCCGCCGCGCGCGTGTTTTTCACCAGGTCCCGGAGCGCGTCGGCGGACCCGTCGTCGCCGCGCAGCAGCCAGGCCGTCGCCTCCTCGAGCCCGGCCGTCTCGAGCCGCGCGCAGAGCTCGTCGACGTCCTCGGCCGACACGGGCGGCGGCGCGCAGCCCTCGTCGTCGTCGTCGTCGTCGTCGTCGGGCGCGAGCGCGTCCAACGCGGCGCGCAGCCGCCGCTTCGCGCGCTGCAGCGCCTTCTTCTCGCGCCGCCGCTCGTCCCGCTCCGCCTGCTCGCGCGCGTCTCGCTCGCGCGCCGCGCGCGCCTCGGCCTCCGCGGCCTCGCGCTTGCGCCGCTCCTCGCGCTCCGCCCTGGCGGCCCGCGCGTCCGCCTTGTCGCGCCGCCGCTTCTCGTCGTCCTGGCGCTGCTGGAACGCGCGCTTCGCCGCCTCGGCCTCGCGGGCGCGCTCGGCCTCGCGGCGCGCGGCCTCGCTGTCCGCCTTGCGCTGGCGCACGCCCGCGGCGTCGCGGGCCATCTTCTCGTCGCGCGCCGCGCCGAGCGCGTCGCGCTGCGCGCGCTCGTCGCTCAGCGCCTCGTGCGCCTCGCTGAGCCGCTTGAACGCGCGCTCGCCGTCGGCGTGCGAGCACTTGTCCGGGTGCACCTTGAGCGCCAACTTCCGGTAGAGCTTCTTGACGATGGCCGGCGCGCAGGGGCAGACGGGAATATCCATGACCTCGAAGTGGTTGCGCGCCTTGAGGATGCGCTCGATGATCTCCTCGGTCTCGCTCAGCGCCGGCGCCGGCGCCGCGCCGGCGGCGCGCCGCAGGAAGTTCATCGTTTGTGCTGCGCGAGCGCTGGCGCCAGATGTTGCAGCTGCGACAGTCACCGACGGCTGCGCCCTGCGAGAGCTTTCGCCAGCTAGGGAGAGCTATCGTCGAGCTGCTCTTGGCGTAGCGGCACTGTCACTACAACATCTCTGTAACGAGGTCATGTTGCACTGATGCAAATGATACCTATCGTAACGCAGTGGCAGCCTGAAACCTCCTCTGCCAACGTGCTGCGTCCCGTTTTGCAGCGTCGCGGTCCTCGGGTCCGGCGTGCAGGCGCGCGGAGCCGGGAGAGCGGCGGCGGCAGCGGCCGCGGCGCCGCGGCGCACCGCCGGCGCTCGGTAGCCTCCGGCGCACGACCGCGCGTCGCGCGCCTGCACGCCAGCGCGCCGCCGCTCGCGCCGCGCGCCGCCGCGCTCGGCTCCTCGGGAAGCAGAGCGCCTACCACCGCGGCTCCGCGGCCGGCACCGAGAAACCCGCCGCGCGCGCGGGCGGCGCGAGGCGCCGGGATGGGGTCCGCGGTGTCTAGCGAGACGGCGGCCAAGGTCGACGAGCTCCAGCGCGCGGGCAAGAGCAACGCCGAGGTCTTCGAGGAGCTCAAGGCCGCGGGCCTCGTGGGCGGCGAGCTGCTGGCCCGGTCGCCCGACGAGCTCGCCGCCGAGTACGCCGCCGGCAAGAGGACGGAGCTCGCGCCGGGCGAGTGGAAGTCGGCCGACGCGATCATCGACGCCGTCGTCGCGCAGAAGGTCGACGGGACGCTGGACCTGGGCTCCATGGGCCGCGGCGCCGACGACGAGCCGCCGGGCCTGCTGCGCATGAACGGCATCCCGCCGCTGAGCGCCGTGCCGGAGGCGGCGTTCGCGTGCCTCCTCGTGACGAAGCTCGTGCTCAAGGGCAACCAGATCGCCGCCATCGACGGCGTCGAGGCGCTGGCGGCGCTGGAGGTGCTCGACGCGTCGGAGAACCAGCTGCGGGCCTTCCCCGGTGCGCTGCCGGCGTCGCTCGTCGAGCTGAACCTCTCGGAGAACGGCATCGGCGAGGTGCCCGACTGCGTCGGCGCGTGCGCGAAGCTCGAGACGCTCATCCTCTTCAAGAACCAGCTCTCCAAGGTCAGCGACGAGATCGGCAAGTGCGTCGCACTCGCCGAGTTCAACTGCTTCAACAACAAGCTCATCAAGGTGCCCAAGGCGTTGAGCGAGTGCGCCGCGCTGACCCACCTCAACGTCGGCGGCAACAAGATCAAGACGCTGCCCAACACGGACAAGTGGACGGAGATGGTCGAGATCAAGGCCCACCAGAACGGCATCATCATGCTGCCGAGCGTCGAGAAGATGAACAAGCTCGAGACGCTGAAGTTGGACATGAACCGCGCGCTCAACGCGGCGCCCGAGCTCGGCGGCGCGGGCGGCACGATCAAGTCGCTCACGCTCTGGGAGACGTCGAACTGCAACCTGACGAGCCTGCCGGACTCGCTGCTCCACGCCCACTTCCTCGTGACGCTGAACTGCTCCTCGAACAAGCTCGCGGAGCTCCCAGCGCTCGAGCTGCCGTGCCTGGAGATCCTGAACGTGTCGAGCAACGCGCTCAAGGAGCTGCCCGTGGAGATCGGCCTCTGCTCCAAGCTCAAGACCTTCTTCTTCTCCGGGAACCAGATCAAGGAGATCCCCTCGGAGTACGGCGCGCTCGTGCTGTCGATCCAGCGCTTCAACTGCTCGGCCCAGAAATCCGGCGGCGAGGCCGTCGTCTTCGAGATGACGAACTGCCTCCAGTCCATCAAGGCCGCCTGCGAGAAACACGACGGCCGCTTCATCATCTAGCCTCGCTTCGCCCCCCCCCCCCC